GCTCTTTAAAGAGCTAGAAAGCTTGTGGATTAATAAAATGTTATATTTTAACTCGGTGCTTCAAACTGTAAATGTTTTTACACTAATTAAAAGTCAATAAAACTTCGTAACTTCTGATTATAAGTGAAAAAAATGTCACATTGATTTTTCTGTTAATAGTAATGTAAAACTATTTATTTTGAATATTTATGTTTTTTGGTATTCTAACCATATTCACTCAGAATAAAACTAATAAAAAATGTTGAAATGTCCTTTAAATCAATCACTGGTACTCTCTCCCAGCATTATTCACCTTGATATAGTTCATTAAGAAATTACAGACTCCTATGTAATAAGTGTTAAAATATTCAATATCGTGATACAATAGGGTGAAAAAGTCTAAATAAAATTCAAATACTTAAACTACGAGTAAAAGTTCAGTAGTGTTTTGTCTGTTGTTTAATTTTGGTTTCTTTTGAAGAATAATAAGCATCTCTTTCACCCGTAGCATACCCTCGATTTCATCTTTACCAGTTACTTTTAACATTTTGAGGAATAAGACCACATCCATTCACATAATGCATGCGTGCTGAAATGCTTGAACTGTCCTTGAAACTAGGATTAGAGTGTTGTTTTAAACGATCTGACAGTCAAGCGACATAGGCGTCATCTCACATAGAGCAGCTGAATTCATAAATTTCGTGAGATATTATTGGATTTACGGCAGAAAATATCGTTAACAGCGAGGGTACCCAACTTTTAACGGACTAAAACAAAACACTCTTATAAGCAGGTTCGAACAATAGAAAATTCATTAAAATGTAACAAAATAATCCAAAATTATACTTTCAAACAACTAGAATATAAAGTTTATCACTTACAAAAAAAAAAAAAAAATAATAATGGTAAAATGTTTCCTGGTCTGGACTTGAAAAAATTCTAATAAACAATATAGCACAAATCTCAATATTATTAATTTCAATAAAGAAAGGAATTATGAAAAAGAGAAAAGTCAAATTCCGAAAAAACACAATATTCCAAAATCAAACCACTTCTCAAGACCAATAACAATATCAAGCAACAATTAACTTTTTTATTGTAAATGATAAGCTTTGTATTCCAATTGTTTGAAAGTTTTATTTTGGATGTATGTGGTTATCAAAGCTTAATAAATTCTTATTTTATTCGACCCTGGTTGTAGCGGCATTGTTAATCTGTTACAAACTTACTCTAATCAGAACCTCATCTACAATGAGTATTTAGACTTGAGAATTCAACCAGATTTCTCAATTGCCATGTGTAGTTTATGAATTCAGCAGACCAATATGTGAGGGTGCTTACATGAATATGATGTTGTCCCATTCCCCAAAATGTTCAGAGTAGTCAGTAAAGCTGAAAACGAGATTATATTATTACTACAGGAAACGCTTCTGATTCTTCGAAAGAAGCCGAAATTAAACAATAAAAAAAAGCTACTGAACTTTTACTCACAATTTAGGTTTTTGAATTGTATTTAATATTATAATTTTACACGAAATCTTCCGATACCATGAGAGGGCGCAACCTTAATCGTAGTACAAATAGATCATAGTACGCATGAGAGTTTTGTGGTAGTAGTAGATATCTCATGATTGAATGGTGTAATATTTATCTTGTAGACTGAGTGGTAAGCTCAATAAAGTCATGATCTAATTACTTGATTAAAAAATAAGTAAACCCGGGCAGAAATGTTTCACACCACAGTGGCTTGATTTATGTTTTCAAGCAAATCTTTTTCAAAATATCTGAATTGTAGTTTTTGAGTTATTTATCATAAACATGTATTTGTCAGCTTAAAATTAAAGACTATAAATTATATATATATAGAAAAACAAAGCAGTTAAATGACAAAAAACAAATTTTTAGGTCGTATAAGAAGGTTAACTGATCAATCTGATAAGCTTATATTTGATGTTTTATTGTTATTAATATCAATTCTGAATGTTTGTGTTTTTAGAATTGAAAAGTTTAATTTTTTTCCTCTGGTGTGTTAGTGTTATTAAAGTGTAGTTAGAGCAGTGGTTCCCAAACCCTTTCATGATGCATGTAACCCTTTGCCTAGAACCACCTTTGCAACGACTTTACATTTAAAAAAAATTATGAGAAATAGTAATAATAATGCATTATTAAACCTTTCATTAGTAAAATGGATGGGGATACAACAATATATTGAATTACTAAGTTATAGAAACTTATTATGTTGACTGAAAGATATGGAAGGAGAAGTGTGACATCACACTTTTAGTTTTAAAGTGAGCTTTGTTCTTGATTTAGCTGGCACAGTTTCTCCAACTGTGGCTTTAGATTTGTTAGTTGTAGTTTACACACACCTTTCAGTTGACGTATCTTGGGTTGCACTAATAAGGAAATTCCCAATTTGTAGTGTTAATAAAATGTGAAATTTTATAAAGAATCTTCATGATTTCATTTATTTTATTTTTATTAGGTAAAATATAAAATATTTCTTTCTTTTTGATCTAATTGATCTCTTGAATAATATTGCAAATTTCAATAAGATCAACTCCAACCCTTTTTCTGCAAGAGAAAATAAGTTGAGAGTAAACTTACTCCTATAAGATGACTCTTCTGTCCCTGGAATTATCCGTGTAGTCCTTCACTGAACCCTTTTAAAGTAGCTAATATACATTTACAGATAGGAGATCACCGCTGTATACACTATTCCAAGTAAAGCCTAACTACTAATTAGAATAAGAAATAAGTACCTCTTTTCCATTAGAAATCAGTGTCTTTCCCGTTTGCTTTCTTACTAGCAACAAAACATTTACAGATAGGAGATCACCGCTGTATACACTATTCCAAGTAAAGCCTAACTTCTAATTAGAATAAGAAATAAGTACCTCTTTTCCATTAGAAATCAGTGTCTTTCCCGTTTGCTTTCTTACTAGCAACAAAACACTGTCTTGATGGCTCATCACATATCCACCACTTTGCTAAGATCCATTTCTTCAGCTATGCTTTTCAGTGTGTTCCCATGCATATTAAGCATGTGATGTAAAGTATGATAACTCAAATGCATTTCCCTACACTTACTGTAACTGAAGGACATTTCTCAACTGCTTGTCTAATTTACTAATTGATCAAAGTCATTCTCAATACATTTAGAAATTGCTAAAGGTTTAATATTACCAGTAAACTTTACTGTCAATATGAAAATTCAGAGGCCCAAGCAGTAACCTTCGAGACACTTCACTTGTAACAAAGGTCCAGTTTGACTGGACTCTATTAATAACAACCTTTTTCTTTTTCTCATCCAACCACCTTACAATCCAGTTAACTAGTCTTTACCAAACACATAATGATATGGCCTTGACTAATTATCTGTGTGACACTTTATCAAAATCTCTTTGAAAATTTAATCACGTCAAGTCCACACTCTTTCTGTTGTACAGAAAACAAGAAACATCTTCAAACAAGAGAGAATCCTCAATAGCCGTGACTGTAATTAGATCTGAAATTGGTCAAGAGATGGAGCTATCAGCTAAAAGTTTGTATTTGAAAAAACTGATCCATTCTATAAGCCACTATGCTGCAACTGTAAATGTTAACAGATTAGCAAGGCAACAGCTCCCTTTAATGAATCCGTATTGACTTTCTTTCATGATGTTGTTTTTCACTAAATGATTTTACCAAGTATCTTTCATCAGACTACAGAATATTTTTTCCCAACAGAAGTAAGACTAACTGAACTATAATGGTGACCACATCTTGTAAATTTATGAGAGACAACTGAGCACTACAGTTCTTAGAAACAAGAAACATTTTTCTGTCATCTTATAAGGCGAAACCTTGATAATTACCTGAGAAAAGTTGAAGTAGAACATTTATCTTTTGTAACAAAATATTAGTTGATGCACACTTTGAGGATTATTAATATCTCTATCATCATTATTTACTTAAATTTACATTTCTTAAATCATGTTTTAAAGAAATTGGTGATGTATTCAATCTTTAAAACATATTTCAACTTCCAAAACTATGGAACATAGATGGTACTTTCTTGATTCACTGAATGATGATGGCTCTTAGTTACCTATTGTATGTAGTTTAAGGGTAACAGTATGAAGTTCACAATATAACAGCATTTATTTCTTGATCCACTGAATGATGATGATGGCTCTTAGTTACCTATTGTGTGTAGTTTCCAAGGGTAATAGTATGAAGTTCACAATCTAACAGCATTTAGAGACTTTGGTTAACATTTAAGTAAGAAAGTTTCATGTTTGTCAGAGTGATGAAATCAAATTCTCATCTGAGTGTAGTTTTAAAATTCAAAAATGTTTATCCTTCCCTATCAGGAATTCTTTAAAAATAATTTTCATTTATTTTCAGAGATGAACATCTGCAGTTTACCAACAGAAATCCAAGAGAAAATTTTAAGTTTCCTTGATGGCCAGTCTTTAGCTAGAGTTCAGCAGGTTTGTCGTCTTTGGTACAATCTTGTTCAGAATCTTTCAGAGGTAGGGGAAATTTGGAAGAACTGTTGTTTACGAGAAATTGCCATTGATGTTTTAAGAGAATTAGTAGGCTGTAAAGAAGTTACTCTGACAGCTAAGTGTGACACTAGCACATGCTTTCCTGTCATTGAAGAATCTTTGAATATTAACTGGAAATCATCTTATCAGCGTTGGTTCATAGGTGGTGTCATATGTCACTGGCCATACTGGGTCAAATCCTTTCCAGATTTTGACAGCATTCCTATAACTTGTGTGAAATTTGCAGGTATGTTTGATAAAATATAAACTGTAAGAATAACTAAGAGTTTAGTATATTGTCTCTTTAACCATATGACAACTGTGTGATGCAATCTGTAGCACCTAATATCGCTATCATTATATTTTGTAGCAAAAATAAAAGTAGTGGATTAATTTGTTTGAAATTTGACAAGAACTTTGCTAAAAATATGTAGTTTTAGAAAAATAAAATATTTAATTTTTATACTACTTCTAATAAAAAATTAGTTATTTAATGTAATTATTTGCACTCAGACTCTGAATAGCTCATCTGCAAGGTTATTTTCAGTTTGAGTATAAAAATACTATTTATTATCATCTTCACATTTCATTTGCATAACCTCTAGAACCTCCTAAATGAATATCAAAAGTTTTCAAGGTAAATGTTTATATTTTCTATTTTCTCTACCATACCACTAACTCTGGTTATTTTCATTAACATACACTGCAATGTAATGTTTGATATTTTCATTAACATACACTACAATGTAATGTTTGATATTTTCATTAACATACACTGCAATGTAATGTGTGATATTTTCATTAACATACACTACAATGTAATGTGTGATATTTTCATTAACATACACTAC